TTTTCCTTTTCTTTTTTTCATTTTATTTTTCTTTAACCTAAATATAGAATTACTCATATAAAGCAGTACTTTCAACCTAAACTGAAGGACAAAAAGAATAGTCAACTCAAACTAAAGGGGAGTTTGGGGGAGCATCAAACTGATATAACAAAGCGGTGGTTATCACGCGCAAAGACGATACGTAGGAAAGTCGAAGGAAACGGAAACTGATGAACTGATAACCCTCTTCGAGTTTTCGGCCGCTGATTGGTCCACTGCGTACGTCATTGTACGGACGATTATGACGCATTTCTAACCTCTTATTTTTTTATTTAGTTAGTAGTTCTCTTCTTTTGTTTAATTTTTAGGAGAACTATTAGCATAGAATAGTACTCTTCTAAATAAAAAAAACAAAGAGACACCGATTTATTTCTTTTTTAATTTAAATCATAAAATTATTATTATTATATAAAAAATAATGTTTAATATTAAGGACTTTAATATTTATGTAATAATTTAATATAATTTAGACTATACACATATTTTTTTTCAATCATTAATTGAATAAATCCTCAATCAATTTTTTTATCTCTCAAATTAATTAATTAAATAATATTAATTAAAGAGATACCAATTTATTTATTTTTTATATAATCTATTATATAATTTAAATTATAAAATAATAATCATTATATAAAAAGATAATTTTTAATATTAAGGAGTTTAACCTTTATTTAATAATTAATATTATATAATTTGATATAATTTAAATTATATATAATTTTTTCTTTTCAATTATTAATTGAATAAATCTCCAATCAAATTTTTTTATCTATCAAATTAATCAATTAAAATGAAATATGTGGATTTAAAAATAGTACTAATATTTTGCTTACAATAAGAAAGATATTTTTGATATTCTATCTACTTAAAAAATTTTAAATAAATTTAAAATAAAAAACAATATTTATTTTTAAATGAATAGAGTAATTTTTGAATAAAAATATAACAAATCTAAGTAGTGAAAATGTGAAATTTAAAGAAAGGTGAAAAAGTATTAGGAAAATAATAAGATTTTTTCATGTTGTAAATTAACTATATGAGATAGTAAAAACTTAAGTATTTTACTTTGATTTTTAAATTAAAATTAAATATAAATACAACTAATTCAATTAAGCCCTAATTAATGATTAAATATTAACCTACCACCTAAATTAGACAAAGTATCTCAATAAATAATGAAATAAAATAATTGTCTTAAAATTTTTAATTTAAACAAATTAAAAATAATTATTATTTTCAGATAAAAATAGTACTTAATTTATTTATGTAATTGTAAAATTTAAAATTCTTATTACAGTTTTAGTAATTCAAACTATTAGGGTATTATTACACCTATCATTTTAGGTTTGCTATTAGGTTTAGTGCATAAAATTACTACCAAGTTTTTTTTCCTTTTTCAGAATATTTTTTTTTTAAAAAAATTCTGCTTTTCTTTCTGCATCAGGTTCTATTTTGGGGTGGTTCGTTGGTGAATTTAATTACCAAAACAAGCTAAGAATGAGGTTTTAGGAAAAAAAAGAAAAAAATCAAATTATAACCTCTTTACTCTGTGTTAAAATGGAGTTATTAGGTAGGAACGATTAATGTAACACGATTTTTTTTAATATTGTAAAAATATGAATTCTATTTAATTTATATTATTAGTAATAATTAAATTATAATTGTTAATTATTACAATAAATAATATTTATTATTTAATATTTCTTTTTGTTTTAAAATAACAATTATTTTTTATTTTAAACTTATCTTAAATTAATTGTTATTTTTTATTTTTAAAATAAATAAATATTTTTATTATTTAATTTTTTCATTATTTATTTATTTAAGTAATCATCTAATTACAAAAGTTTTATTTTATTATATATATTTTAAAAAATATTATCTATAAATTTTTAATTTTAAAATATATATTTTAATATAGATGAAGTAATTATTTATTAAGAAAACCTATAATTTGAGTGACCGTAATAATAATATAAATTATAGGGGTGGGGTTTGAGGGTGCTAGAGATAGAAGATGGTGAAGAAGGAAAAGGCTGTTCTGTGAGTGGGTGCTTTGTTTGCTTCTTATGGACTCAGAATCAAACAATCACAGCAACAAAAAACCCCCTTCTGGGTATTCCTTCACAAAGCATCTTGGTTCCTTTCCTTTTATTTGGATCTCTGCTTCTTCTCAAAGCTTAAACTTTTCCCTATTTGGTATTTGACTTCAACCTGTTCAAGAATCAAAAATTCAAGTTCCCTATTTCTGGGATTTCTGAATTTTCCTCCCAGACCTCTGTTTTCCCTTCATTTTTCCCTCTATTCCTTTGTCAAGAACAAGAACAAGAAAGATCATTTCTGGTTTACCCTACAAGAATACAAGAAAAGGTAAGTGCTTTTTTTTTCTCTGATTTTTCTTTACTCTTTTTGAGTCCTGAACACTGCTTCCTGCTCCTTCTGTATAAGAAAAAGTTTCTATCTTGTTGTGTGTTTTGATGGATGGATGGATACTGAGGGTTTAGTTTGTTGTTGATGGTACGTGCAGATCAAGATGGTGAGGGGAAAGACTCAGATGAGGCGCATAGAGAACGCTACAAGCAGACAAGTGACCTTCTCCAAGCGCCGGAATGGGTTGCTGAAGAAGGCCTTTGAACTCTCAGTTCTCTGTGATGCAGAGGTTGCTCTCATAGTTTTCTCCCCTAGAGGCAAACTCTATGAATTCTCAAGTTCTAGGTACCATGTGTCTGTCAATTTCAACTTTTTTTTTTTTTCTCACCTTTATTTAGATTTTCTAGTTAATCTAACTCTCTCTCTCTCCATTTTTATCTCTCGTACAAGCACTCACACTTGCTAGATCTTAATCATCCCTGTGTTTTGGAGATCATCTAATCCAACAACACCTTAAGGAATCAGATTATTAATTTCACCCTTTTTTTATTTTTTATTTTTTTACATCAGATTGATGAATTATACAATAGATGATGAGTTATACAATAAAGATAATTTTTCTATTACTTTAATTCCTCTGCACTCCTCATGGGGAGATCTCAAATTTAGAGCATTAAGATCATAACCAAAAACCCCCTTGGGGGCATTAATTTTAGCTCCTTTGGTGGTTAGGGTAATGACTAGTTTTTGCTTCAAGCCTTAAACCATAAAAAGACAAACAAGGAAAACTACCTCGATTAATAATTTTCTTTAGGTCATGAAAGAAGCAAATAATATCTATTCTACAGGAGAGCTGATAATACTTGTTACATACTTGTTTCTTGAATTAGTATAGAATAATAACTTCTGTCGTCCTGTTTATAATACTTGTTACATATTCTTCCCCTGAATTAGTATAGAATGATAACTTATCTCGTCCTGTTAATAATACTTGTTACATACTCCTCCCTTAAATCAGTATAGAATGATAACTTATCGCGCCCTAACTTATTCTGTAAGTTTTTTAATTTTACCTTATTTTTGTAATTTAACTAAAGAAATCATCATTCCTCCAACCAAACATAACCTAAATAATTAATGACTGGTTAACTAAACTTGGAAGTAGATTTTACAACTATATCTCTTGAATGATTTATGAAAACTTAATTAGTTTAATTAAGTAAAAGAAGTTGATTCTCATTTTATCAATAAATGTAAAAATATTTGTAGTATTAAAATGAGTTATAATATTCTACAGTTACAGAAGGAAAGGCCACTAGAATATTTACGAATTATGATATTAACTGCGTCGGTTAGGGGTTATGGTACATACTGTTTTAGTCAAAAGACATTAATTCTTCTCTATGCAACAAAGAGATAAGCACCATACAACATAAAAGCTATTCTTTAGAATCTCTACCATTCTTCTATTAAGATTAACTCATATCTAAATTTTACTCCTTTTTTTATCGCATTCTCCCTCATGAAGTTGATGATTATTTCTATTCTTCTTCTAATATAGACTATATAATTTCATCATGTTTGCATCTTCATACTATTATTAGTTTACTCTAATCTTTTGGTTCCTACCTTCACAAAGGAAAATTAAACTTTATATATCTCACTTGGTAATATGTGCCACAAAAATCCACACAACCACAAACTAGGTCTCACTCACTTAGTCCTTCAAAGCCTTGATTATGTAATTAAGTTTAGTACCTCACTAACTTCTTTATGTATAAGAAAACCTCCTATCCTCTCCAATGGCCAGATTTTTATTGCCATGGAATTATTGGTTACACAATTTTGTCATTTTGTTTGGTAGGCAAAAATGATTCACATGCAATTTTTTTTATGGTAAAGTATTACAATTTTAATAAGTTACAGTGATTATAATTGGTTATTTTCACTCAGTAAAATTAATGTGTGAATTGATACGCATTCACTCATTTGATGTTATATAAACCATGGTTAAGATTTTGGTGTAAGAAAATACATATATATATATATATATATATTTCTGTGTATGTGAATGAACTTTGTGTTTGATATTATGGATGATGTTTTATTCTTTCATTAGTATGCATAATTTGTTGTGTTGGCTCTTGGGAATCATCTGAAACCATGTTCAGCCAAAAATCTATCAAGTGAGATTATGCATCTCGGCTTCTGGATTTATCTCTCTAGACTAGGTTATTCTACGATAATAAACAATGGAATCTATGCATTCAAGGCATGGGGCTGGAGAGAAAAAAAGAGAGAGAGAGAGAGAGAAAGAGAGAGAATAAAAGAAAATTAACACACCCATATACACATATACATATATGATAAATGTTATTTTTATCAAGAAGAATTTCGAGTAAATTGTACAAAGACATTAAAATATTAGTAGCAACGTCAGTAAAAGATTATAAAATTATTATAGCAATTGTTTCCTATGAGGAACAAGAGATGGTTTCAGTTAGCTTGAGATAATCAAGTCCAAAACAAATAAAACAAATGAAGGGATGATTTTTTTTTTTTTTTTTGAATAGCAATTTTATTGATATAAGTACAAGGGGTACTCAATCCATATAACCATATAGATGGTCTAATTAATTGTGCATGTTAAAAAAAATGAGAACAAAAAGGGATGATGGTTGGGATTGAAGAAAGAAAAAGGTTTTTAGATATTTTGATTTCTATTTTATCTTTTTATAGGCCATGTATAATGCATGATGTGTTGATGGCCAAACATCTTTTTTTTTTTTCTTGCACCCAAAGTATAGAGACAAATACCCATTTTACATTCTACTTTTTTTATTTAACAATGATCATTTGACATTACAATTCTTGGTATGAATTCTTGGAAGCCCTGCTTTTGTTGCATATGCTTAATTTGTGGAGGCAAATAGATTAAAGCTTCTCTAATCTTCTGTACATGTACATATAAACCCTATGTGGTTTTGAATTTCAGCAAGCAATTGTTTGGCAATTGATGGCTTTACTGTTTGGTTCATTCTTGATCAGCATGCAGTCTACAATAGCTCGTTATTTGAAGCATGCAAAGGAAAATCCAACCAAAAAGTCAACCCAACAAGACACACAGGTAATTAATAAACCAATATTGCCATAATCTTGTGGTGTTGGAACCTAATTTCTCACTTGGCTTTCTCATCAATGCGGATTCAAAATGGCAGAATCTGAAACATGAAGCTGCAGAGATGATTAAGAAGATTGAATCACTTGAAGATTCAAGACGGTACTAGGCCTAGCTTCTGTTTATCAATTTTACATATATGTTGTTGGTCTAAAGCTAGCCATAGCAATTGAATACTGAATCTGAAAATGAATTTCCTCAGGAAATTACTAGGAGAAGGTCTAGGATCATGCACAGTTGAAGAACTTCAACAACTTGAACGACAGTTGGAGCGAAGCGTAAGCAATGTCCGAGCAAGAAAGGTTCATAAATCAAAATTAAACTTTTAATGTTGGGTGTAATATATATATACATGCTTGACTTCACATGTTATTGAATAGGAAAAACATTAACACAAACAAATATATGCTTGTCTACACTTCAGATTCAGGTTTTTGAGGAACAGGTGGAGCGGCTAAAGGAAAAGGTAAGCCTTAGTGTTTCTGCACAAACTTGAATAACTGCCTTGATAATTGCAGACCCTTGATTTAATTCCAAACCAAAAACACAGGAAAGAGCACTTGTTACTGAAAATGCAAGGCTATCAGAGAAGGTGAGTCCTTTTCTCATCATAAACAAAGCAAAGCAAAGAATTAATGCTGAATAATTCTTGGCACATGGAACTGATAAAAAGAGTTTTGGGTTCCATTTTTCCAGTGTGGTGTGACTTCATGTGAAAGATTAAATGAGCAGAGAGAGACTGTAGCAGTACCGGAGGAAAGTAGCCCTAGTTCTGACGTGGAGACTGAACTGTTCATCGGACCACCGGAGACAAGAACAAGGCGGCTGCTGCCTCAGAATTAATGGATGGTCGGCAGACCCTTATGAAATGCAATCATTTGACATACTCTGCAGTATATTATATAGCCTGCTTTAGAAATAATTCCAGCTATATGTGAATAAAATAAAAATAATTCCCAGCTATATAGTGTAACAGCAAGTGTAGTATGTTCTGTGAAGCGTAATAAATAAGGAACGCTAATTTAATTTTGTATTTTAGGGAAAATCTGAAATCTTTTCTCATTTGTTTTATTTTGATCATTAAAAATTTGATCGTGGATGATCAAGACTTATTCTTATAT